ATGCAGTCATTTTGACTGCTTTGGGCAATATAGGTATATACTAAGTTTCAGTCTTTCTAGTGTTAAATAAGTTTAAACCCTGATTGCGAGGCATACTTGAAGTAACTGAGTCAGTCGATCAAGATCCATGTCGGCGGAGTTGGCACCCAGCAGCATTTGTGTGAACAGGCCATTAATCAACGACATCTGATTCTGAAGATCCCTGCAATCCGCCTTGGTAAGCCCTAATTGAGACTCCAGATTCGTGATCGCCGTGTCTTGTGCATCGATCTGTTCCAAGATCAACAAGTGTTCAACATACATTCTTGACAATAATCGAAAACATCTTAAACTAGCATTCCCTGTCACGGTTTCGCACGCATGCTTTTTCTCATTGCAACTCGAGTCAGTATACGAATAGGTAAAAGTATTAGTGACACAATTCACTTTCTGGAATTGAACGACACTTTAAGTGAGAATAAAAAATGTATCATGAAATACCTTCTCGTCAGCCTTCTTCAAGTCTTCCTCCAAACATTCGCGCTCCTTCAACGAGTGATCCAGCCTCACCCGAGTGTCAGCCGAATCTCTGACAGCCGCGTCCTTCAACTCGTTCAGCAGTTTCAGCCTCTCGTTGTAAAGGCTCTTCAGACAGTTGATGTTTTCCATCTGACGTTCGCACTCGAGGCCGACCTCGTCCTTTGGCTCCAGGAAGCTCTTGTCGCCAAGCCGTTCGAGAATCTCCGCTAGACGATCTTTCAACTCGTTGGTGTGCCGTTCCCTCGCGTAAACTGCTTCCCGCGTTCGATTGCTCATATCCGATAGGCAACGTATACGTTGTCGATGATGATCGGTATCAGTTTCCAACTGATAGCGGAGGTCGTCCAATTTGTCTATCTGCACGCGAATATCGTTTCTCACCTCGTCAGATACCTGAAAGAATTTATGAACCGGACGGGACAAGTAATAAACTAGTAAAAGGTAAATCTAGAAAAAGTTAAAAACAATTTTGTAAGAATTTTTTATTAATAGGAAGATCGCTGTGTTGATTCGAATTATTTTTCCCGGAGAACGAAAGAGCAAGAGAGTAACGCAATGTTAATTATAATAACTACTTCTCTACATTCTACTCACTATTGATTTTTTTTTTTTATATGGAAAGAATTTACCTTTAGAATACTCATCAGGCGTTTAGCTTCCATGCGTTGCACTGCCAGTTCTTGATCATCCATCGTCGAATGTTTCGCTGTAGACTTGTTGGAGGTCTCGTTTACGGTTTGAGCTTGCTCATTTTGCGCGGACCTCAGGAGATCCAAAACCTTCGAGGTTTCCGAGTGGGCCTCCTTCTCCGCGTCCAATTCCCGCCTGAGCCGTTCCATCTCCGACGAAACCGCCGCGATCGCCCTTTGTCTCGCCTCCCTCTTCAAGGTCAATTCCTTCTTGAATTCCTCGATATTCGTGGCGCGGTCGGGTGGACTCTCCTGCGGATCGTCGATCGCAATATCCTTGGACGATTCGTCGCTGTGGCCCTTCGCCTCAGTCTTGACAATCTCCTTCAGTCTTTGAATCTCGTCCAAGGCGTCCTCGAGTGCCTTCGTCTGCTTCTTCTTGTCGGACACCTCCTCCGATAGCTGCGCCTTCAATTTCGAGGTCCTCTCGTTCTCGACGTCCCGGATTTGCTCCTTCTCCCACAAGCATCTCTGCAAATCCTGCTCGAGACTCGAGATCCTGGCTTCGGCGGTGTCCTTCAGCGCGTTGAATCCGTCTATTTCCTTTAACAGCCTCTCGGTTTCCTTCGTCGCAACGTCGAACCTTGCCATCAGCTTCTCGTGCTCTTCTCTGCGCTCTTTTAAATTCGTCTCCACTTCCTCGTGTCGCTTCCTCGATTCCTGGAACATTGCGAATTCTTATTTTTTTTTCAAATATTGGACGTAGTTTTTTATCACATTTCTTAGACTTTTCGTTGAGATCTTACGGCTCATACAACCTTAATTTCGATTCGGCGTGTTTACCTCATTATCCTTTTTAAGCTTCTTCACCAGCGCTTTCTGAACCACCAGATCGTTCGCCAGCCTCTTAGTTTCGCCTTGATACTCTAATCGTTCAGCTTCTAATCTTTCTACCTCGTCCGTCAACCTAATCACACTCCTTCTCAGTTCCTCCACGTTGGATTCTGTCTTTTTCGTGTTCTCTAAATGCAAGTTTGCCTGTGAATCCGTTTCGTCGTTCGCGACCCACTCTGTCCCCTGCTCGTTTTGCGTAACACTAATTCTAGACATCGTTCGAGCTTCGTCGTTCGAGATCCGTGTCTTAAAATCGAGTTCAGGTACGTCGATGCTAGACGGAAGTCTGCTACACGTCGTTTCTCCACACACCGACCTTCGATCTTCTAACGAATCACAGATAAACCTGTCGAGTCCACGGGATTTCACAATACTCTCCAGTCTCTCGATCCTCAATCGAAGCTTCCTGTCCCCATCTTCCTGACTGATTGTCCTCTGTTCACCGATCAACAGGTTCTCCAATCGATCGACTCTGGACTCGATTCTTCTACTCTCGTCATCTTCCTCGTGATGTTCCACGGTCAGTCTTTTCTTCAAAGTTTCGTCCAGCGTTTCCGACGAACCAGTCTTCCTCCTCGTCTCCCTTAACTTTCGGAGTTCCACGTACAATGCCTCCAAATGCGCGAGGGTCGCGGTGTGTGCTGACGCCAGTTGCTGGTTCGCCATGGCTAGCTGCGACACCACTTTCGACAGCTCCATGGCCTCTTGGTACTGCGGGAACGACGGAGGCCCGTGCCCCTCGGCCGTCTGCCAACCTGTCATCTGCGCGGCGTACGTCAACTGCAATATATAAATAGTGAATTGGACTAATTTCAGATGGGGACTGATTGAACCGATCGTCGATCGGGATTCTGGTTCAAGGAATGGTTACGTTAACACGTTTTGCTCGCTCTGCATTGCGTCAAACGGGCTCACAGGTAGAATCTCAGTTGGCGAAAAATCAGAGTTTAATATGAAATAAAGATATGAATGAAAGTGAATTTATATGTGAAAATGAAAAGTTCATTCACTGTGCAAAATCGCCTTATTAAAATAATCAGAAATAGCTTTTGATAGTTTGCTAAAATAATAGGTTTTGTTTTTTCAAATATCTGATTTCATTTCTAAAATTCTACTATTTATTTTGAAAGATAAAATTATCTTTTTATTTACTACTTTAAATGTGCGTAGCCTATGGAGGCGCGCGAGTAGCGGATTTATAAAAAGTCAGAAACAATCCTCGTTTTCGTCTCCCAATGTGAAAAATCACGGTGATTGGAGATCACGGAGATTCAAAAGTAGCAGTTCTACCGATCACTAAATGGAGCAATGATTAAGAAAGACAAGTGGATTAAACAATACTAGTAGCTTACGTGAAGTTTTGCAATAATCGTTACTTACGTCCAAAAAACGAAATCGCAGAAAGGAACTTGTAAAGAATTCGGTATTGATCTTTAAAAGCACGAGTGATCCTCGCAAAAGGAACAGATCTTAGAGACTGGATCTACGTCAAGCGATCTAAGAGAGTGCACTGGCACAAGGGGCGAGCGAGTTCCCCGAAGAACTCGAGATAGAGGGACACGTGATCGCGATCGATCTCAGAAAATTCGCACTACTACGGTGGCCGTGACTCAGCTCGTTCTCCTCGAAATCTGCGAGGTAGTCGGTTTTTGGAAGCCGGCCAGCTTTTCGCCAAACGGGGGACAAACAAAAGAGCGACGTTTCGGAAAATCTGCTGCGCTTCGAACAAAGAAAAGCTGCGCTTACCAATGTCTCCCGGCGAGGGGAAGGTCGCAAGTTCGACAAACTCGGTGCCGATGGTCTTTGACTCCACCATTCCTCGCCTCTGATGGTCGCGTAGGGACTCGGGCCCTGCGAACGTATCACGGAAGAAATGTACATCGACTGATAAAACAATAGTATACTTTTGAGTTTGTGTTAGTTAGAATTTGAAATCTGAAACTGAAAATTCCAGATATTTGTTAAATCATCAGAGAAATATTTACGGCATTTATACTGTTGAATGAAAACTTAAGTTCTGCACGTGTGCAAGTCAAAATGGTCGGAAATCGTTTTTGATAGCTGTACAGTCTCTGCGAGAGGTGCTACGAATAATAAATATTCGTTTTATATTTAACCTGCGATCGGGGTTCTTCACCCACGTCAAACGTCGTGCTTCTCGTCCTTTGTCGTATATTTTCGTTCGCATATTCCGGACAGCGGGAGGACTCCTCTGTGCCGTAGATAAACGCGTTTTCGCCGTTGCTTTCCTCCCTGAATGGGGCCGACGACGGCGCGCCGTTACTACTGCCGGCCGCACCCATACTCCACTCGTTCCACTCGAATCGGTAATCTCCCTTGCGGAATGTGCGTTTCGCAGTTTCTTCCTCTTTCTCGTGTGAGGTATCTGTAACGAGTGAACTACTACTGCATGCGACAAACCAAAAGCATGCTTTTCAGAAACGGTACGTGACAGAATATTTCTCCCTTTGGATTCGTTTTTGGCAGAAGACACTCCATAAAATATAGTGAATGTTGTAAGAAGTGAAAAAAGTTTCTTTTGTCAGACTGTATTAGTAATCAAGCAAATGGGAGATTGCTTAGATCTCGAGATGTCTTAGATTTATTAATATTAAGCAAATGGAAGATATCTTAGCTTTATTATACTACTTTCAGAGAGATGAGACTATCAAGATAAACGAGTATGAAATGGTTCCTACTAATGCACCGAGCCTCGATTAGTTTAGTAGGGAGATAAAGAGATCGAGTTGGCAGAGGAAAAAAGTCAGACCGTGTCAGCTCGTATTTTTAGACGACAGGTCAGTCTGGATCTTTTATTTTAAAATGTTCGCTTGTAAAAAACAAATTCGACGAAGTGAGATCGTATAAAATATCAGAAGATATAGTACCATTGTAAGTAGTATTTAAATAGCTTAAAGAAGACAAAATCCTCTTCTCATCGGAAGTATATTCCATTTATACGCTATTTATATTTACGTGTAACTAGCGGATATTCCTCTTTATACTGTATTTATAATGAATTTATTATTATTAGACTGCGGATGTTTATGCTTTTCTAGGAAATTTCAACAATTTAAAGAAACGCAGTATGCAATAATATGTATGTATGAGATGCAAAATTAAGTAAAATACAGTTCACAATATTTAGAAGAGAAAACAAACGTTTATATGCATTACGCTAATTATATTTATATATTTACGACATTCCGGTTTGTGTTGCGTATTACAATAAATTCATTATTATCCTTAGGCGCAACAATTCGTGGTTCACTCTGCATACTTAATTAACATTTCTAAGCTACAAAAGTACAACATAAATTATAAATGTTTATTTACAAAAATTATTTATTTTAAAGCTCTAACGTGCTGCAAACTTTTCAGCAGAATTGTGTGAAAATCAGTTTGATATCCTGTTGAAGATCAAAGCGCCGCTGAAAACGGCAGCGCAGAAGAAACAAAAACAAAGAGTCACTCTTATAAATTTCATTTTACAGACCTAATCGTTTCCAACTTTTGTATTATAATAAGAGCGTGAGTCCAACTATTGCAGCTTATGTTCATTCGTGACCATGACTGCACAAGCATTCAGGTTTCCTTTAGGAGCTAGAGTAGCCACGTGACTTTCCTACCATTCGTCGTTTTTTGCTCTGCTTTATTCATAACCAGGCAAAAATAATCCATAATATGGCTGAGTAAATTAGGACATTTACCTTTTTGTTTTCATGTAAACTGAAGGAACATTCCTGTTCATTTTACGATAAATTTATTATTATTATTATTATTATTATTATTGTTGTTGTTGTTGTAAGTTAGTTTGAAGGGATTGACGTTTGAAGAATCAACTAGAATTGCGACGGACGTGGTAAGCAGCGGTAGAACATCGGTCGAATGGGCGAAACAAACTTGAACACGAGTCCGTGCGACGCGATGCCATAAATACATCATAAATAGATATACCGAGCGGTTCAGCACGCGATCTAAATTTAGATCAACGAGGAACGGCAACCGACGAGATTTCCTCCTCGATTCCGTCAAAACGTGACTTAAAAACGTTCGCACTTTCGTCCCGACGATCGCGTAACCATCGCCGCGTCATTGAAACGAGTTGCGCGAAACCCGCGAGGAATTGCGAAATCCGGCGGGAAAACTGAGCGACCGACGGGAAACGCTTGTTTACAGTCTCAGGTGGATTAGTTTTGCGTACGAGCGAGCGCGTCGGGGTTTCACTCACCGTTGGTCATCCGAAGCGTTCGGACGGTTCGTGGGGTTCGATTTTCTTAGGGTCAACGGCGACACTTGACTAACGCCGTCGCCGCTCGCGGCCAGCGACTCGATCCTCTAAAAATACCGTTTCGAAAGACCGCGTGCGCGCGGACGTCGAAGCCGAAGTTCTACGAGCGACCGTACGCGCCGCTAAACTACTTACTTCCGTGTATCTGAGATTCGAGAAGCTGCTGCCGTTGCTTGCGTCTGCATTCTAGCCGATTCGGCGAACGAAACTTTCCAAGTCGAGGCTGGTCAATTCTGAGACCGAAGGAACCGTAGATTCGTCCTGGGTATATGCCTTCAACATTTCCCTTCACTCGCACGATTTTTAGAAAAATCAAGTCACCAGCGAAAATACGAAACTGCGATGGTTCTTTTGGCGAACATCCCCGCGTCATAAATTCGTGACTAAGTCCCATGACTTGGATCTTAGCTACGAAAACGTATGCGTCCTAACAATAGCGCTGTTCCTACTCTATATTTAGTCAGTTTTTCAAACGGTTCGACGTAGCGGTACACGTGCCCGCGAGTCGAGGCTCTCCCGAGTCGCCACCGACGTCCGACCAAGAACGAATCTACACATCGAGGAGTGATTTGTAGAACAGGTTTTTAAATAATCCACGAGGTTTCGTTAAAAATTTATTTATTGATCATTTTGAATACAATCACAGTTAAAATAGATGTAATTAATTAGATTAATACAATAATGAAAAGTAACGATCGCGAAACTCATAATAATTAAGTTATCTTGAAGACTGAATTGTCTTATTATTTACACTCGCGTTTTCGGTGGCGCCAGCCAAATTTTTCATTGTTGCAAAATTCCGCAAGACAGAAATTCGCTCTTGACAATCCGCTAATTCTGTGCATCAATACCTGCGATACATATTTTCAACAATGATTCATTGTTGAGATTTAGCTTGCTACACATTTATCCTATAGGCCAGAATTCAATGTTTGTGAAGAAACAAAATTTAGTGATTTATCTGAAACCCTGTTTTCCTAGAACATCTCGTGAATGCATTATCGCATTAAGTGTTCACGAACTCAGGTATTACCTGATAACAGTGAATTTAGAGTTTCTACCCTTTATCAGAATCGCAGATAAGCCGTCGTTCGCCGTTTCCACCGTGCTGCTATCTGGCTCCATGGCTAAATTATCGATAATCTGATACGTTCTATCGTATATTTCTAAATCGCATTCGCATTCGAGTGCCCATTCTAAAGAAAGAAATCCATAATGTATAACATGCATCAATTATTATATTTTTTTATTCTCTTAATCTATCAATTTTTCTTTATTACGATTATTATTATTGTCATTTGGAAATTCCATGTGCGTCCATTACTGATATTATGTGAATCGCCTACCTTTCACGTTATCATTATCGAAATTGTTGTTTGCGCCGTGTGACTTGGAAGCATTCAGATGGCAGTCGCAGCAGCATTTCGATGAGCCGACGAGCGAGGTGTTCCCGTTATCTGTAGTTCTCTTATCATCTCCGACAATGTCTTTCGCGTGTTCCGAGTTGCCCTCGACACTGATCGGCTGTTCGTTTTTGCAAGTGGCTCTGCATCCGTTATCTTCTCGTCGGCCGGCTGTCACCTCTTTTGTTACGTAAGGATAGCTGGAATTACTAAACAACGCGATTTGCAGAAGGTGTCTTCCATTTTCGAAGATCTTTACGTACCATTGACTCTCCGTCAGTTCTGTTACGGTTATTGGATTGTCGCTAGTGTATCGACGCTGCTGTTCGTCTATGCTTACAATGATCTCGAAATCTTTCTCTTCTCGATTCGCTACAAGTTCCTTTTTCATTGGATGACTCAGATCGTTTTCCATAATTTTAACTGTCTTTTCTTCGTCCTCCGATTCACTGAGCAAATTCTACCATAGAGATTAGTGGTATACAAATTGTCTCGTCTAAAGGGGGCCACTTCAACCCAATCTGTTGTTTCTAATGTTATGAAAAAGCTTCATAACACGTATGTTCATAATGAAAGCTATATAAAGCTTATATTAACACTAGATTGCCCA